CCCCCCCCCCCCCCCCCCAACACACACACTCTCTCTCTCTCGTTCTGCCATTAATGATACCTTGCTTTCCAGGTACCCCCTCTTTGTTTTGTAACCGATACTGCGAGAAAAGGTACTTGTAGTCAATATCCAGCCGTTACTCCTCCAGTCCAACCAGACTAGTGACACAAAACACCAAATAATGATAATTCAAAGCTTCAGACCAAACTTCCCATGATGATTTCGGTTGTTTACTTGCTTGCACTAAACAACTGTTGAGTCTTTTTCCCCCCCTCACAAACACTCATATTTATATACTTCAAAATAATTACTCAATGGAACACTCTGAAACCATGTCTTTTATGGAAGTTTTCAAGAGAATAAAACGTTTAAGGCTATTTGAGCCCGCCATAGTGGTTCTTGGATTCGTTTTTGTCACAATTTTTATTATTTTTTGCTTATTTTTACTTGATTATAGAAGTGAGCGAAAAGGGCTGAGATTTTCGATTCAGAATGAGAGGTTTCTGTGGTTAAGATTTGATGGTGGATTGGGTAATCAGAGTAGAAAAAATCCTGATATTTTGCTTGAAAATAATGGTATTTGTAATGTATTTGAAGGTGATTGGGTGTGGGACGAAAGCTATCCTTTATATCAATCTAAAGATTGCAGGTTCTTGGACGAAGGCTTTAAGTGTAAAGAGAATGGGAGACCTGATTTATTCTACACAAAGTGGAGATGGCAACCCAAAAATTGCAACTTGCCTAGGTATTTTTCCCATTAGTTTTCCATGATTTTCAATTGGGATTTTGTATTTTTGGTTACTAAACATGACAGGCAAGATTTTGGGTTGTTGTTTCACACCTAGATTATTACTTAATGAAATGACGATTAATCTAGTTGGGATTATTGCGTTAACCATTATTTAACCCAATAGTTTTCCATGATTCTCAATTGGGATTATTGCTGTAACCACCTCATCTAAACTTTTTGTTGGTTTATTTTCAATAGCAAAACAAATTATATGGTGGTTATCCATAAGCTTGGCTATTAGTTTTGTCTATTGATCTCGTTGTTGATGCTATTTTCTTTGCACTGATGAATGATTATGAGCAAGTACCACATAATTTAGAAATATAATATGCTGCGAGAATGGATATTTATGTTTTATAGTTGATTGCTACTTGATATACCTTCAGTTCTGTTTCTTTATAGTTCACTAAGATCGTTCAATCGTAGCTGTTTATGTCAAAATACTTTCTTTCGCAGTGTTCGCTCTTGATTATTCCTTTCCTGTTTCCTCCTTGGTTCTTAAAACATTTGCTAGTGAATTGAACTTCTTTGGACTTGATTTGATGCAAATTTGGATTATTTGAGGAGTTATTTCTTCGTTTAGAATGTATTTAGATGCAGTAAGGTTTTCCAAGGAACAAAATCGAACCAATCCTTTCATTTACTTGTGTTTTTCCTGTATCACAATCTTTCACTGCAGAGGAGTTTTTAATCTAGTATGAGAAGTAAATGGACTCTGATATCTTTTCTCCGCACCTATAAAACAGATTTGATGCAAAGATTATGCTAGAGAAACTGCGAAATAAACGTCTAGTGTTTGTGGGAGACTCAATAGGAAGAAACCAATGGGAGTCTCTACTCTGCATGCTTTCTTCTGCCGTTTCCAAGAAGGACTCGATCTACGAAGTAAATGGAAGCCCCATTACCAAACATAAAGGTTTCTTAATCTTCAAATTTACAGAATACAATTGCACTGTGGAATACTACAGGGCTCCATTTCTTGTATTGCAAAGCCGGCCTCCTGCAAATGTTCCACCAGAGATAAAAACTACTCTGAAACTAGACCAAATGGATTGGAGTTCTTCCAAATGGAAAGATGCAGATGTACTAGTTTTCAACACTGGACATTGGTGGAATCAAGAGAAGACTATAAGAGGGTAATTTCTTATAGTTGTTTTCTCTTGTCTAGATACTTGCGTATTTTCTCACGAACCATCGATGCGTTGCTGGAGCTTGTTTGCCTAAGCTTATCAAGTTTACTTATAAGTTACAAATAAAATTTCTTGTAAAGTAAATAAGTTAGTTTTAAAGCAAATATCTTTTTGTTTATCAGATAAATTTAGAAATAAGTATGTTACTTATGTTGGCCAACTTACGAGTTACTTTCAAATAATTACTTGTTTGACTTAAAACTAAAAATAAAAATATAAGTTATCTAAAAATGTCCGTGGAGCAAAAGTAGCTTTGTTTTTTAAGCTTAGCGAAACATGCTCTTAGAGGAGTCGTAAGAATTCTGATATTTTGGAAGTGGCATGTATATGAACTGGTCATGGTGAAAGTGTATAATTACTTGCATGCAACTAAAGAATATCAGGGATTGCTTTTGAAATTTCAATCCTTAAATTACATGTTGAAACTGGCATATAAACCGTTAATTACTAATTTACTGTGGGAATGTTTCTTGCAGTAGGGAACATATTATTTATCCATGATTTCAAGTGTACCATTTTATGTTCTGACCTTAGAGTTTTACTAAATTGGTAGGGGTTGTTTCTTTCAAGAGGGATCCGAGGTGAAGATTGAAATGAGAGTCGACGATGCATATCGGAAATCTTTAGAAACAGTAGTGCAGTGGATACACCGTGAATTGACTACAAACAAGACTCAAGTCTTCTTTCGAACATATTCTCCTGTACATTTCAGGTCTAGCTCCTTCACGATTTTGGCTTGTTTTACATTTATCTTCCTACATATTTGTTGTTGGGAGTAACTATGATTTGTCTATAGATTCTACTTTATGTAAATCAATTTCAACGAAAAAAATTAATATCATTCATAAACTAAAAGGAAAAAGAGTTAAGAAATACTGGCCTACGGGCAGTCATGTAAAACTTTGTCTTGAAGCCGTATTTAAAATTTTTAAATTGAGTATTGGCTTGGGAAGTATTAACTTGGAGTTCCTTATCAGTTGCTTATGCTTCTAGGATTTCATGGATTTTGCACCAAACTACATGGGTTATATAATTCATATTTGTGTTACTTCCACCTTTACCTTCAGGGGTGGCAATTGGAAATCTGGGGGAACATGTCACTTGGAGACACTTCCGGAGCTTGGTTCTTCATTGGTTTCCTCCGACACTTGGGCTCGCTATAGCATATTTTCCGAAGTCATTTCAGAATACTTCAACATTTCAGATTTGAGAGCATTTGACTTGCTAAATGTAACTCATATGTCGTCAAGAAGAAAAGACGGACATTCGTCTATGTATTACATGGGTCCAAAGACAGGTCCTTCATCTCTTTACAGGCAAGATTGCAGCCATTGGTGTCTTCCCGGAGTGCCTGATGCTTGGAATGAGCTACTCTATGCTCTTATTCTAAAGCGTGGAGCGATCAAAACATCAAATTAATCAACATTCAGGTGCATGGGTTTGATCCATTGCCGACTAATCTATATTTTTTATACAGTACAAGAGGATTCATATTTATCATTGACGAGCAATTGTGGATCTTGCAAGGCTGCTAAAGAGATCTGCCCTAAGGAAAAGCAAAATTTAGTGACATTTTTATGTGATTACATGTATAGGAGCCCAAATTTATGGGCAAATGAGAAATGCTATTGTTTAAATAAGACAGAGTTTAGCAAATACATTTTTCACTCCATTTTTTCCACTGTTATTATAGACTATTCATTAGAATATCTGTGGAAATAGTAAATACTGTTTAGAGTTTCTAAGATGCATCAATGAAAGATGATATGCTTGTAGCAATGTCTTGTGGGTAAACATGTTGTAGACTTGTAGCTCAATGACTTGACTCTATGCTTTAACAACTATTTGGTGCACATGGGTCCTTTCTAGATGAAAATAAGTTGTATTTCCATTTAAACAATGCCATCTATTTAGACTGCTTATAGTCACATTATAGTCACAATTATAAGCGTCATTAAGCAATTGGACTTCTTAAGTGTAGGGATATGGGTCCCATTTAAGATGTTCAATCACTCATTAGTACATAAAAAATCTCGAATTCACAAATTGCAATCGTTGTCTTGTTATAGATTTAGAAATCCATAAGAGACTCACGTGTAGTATTATTTCTGCGTACGATCATCCTATTAAAATTAAGCTATCACATATTGGCTATGTTAATTACACATGCATGTGTACTAATATCGTCATGATTAAAACAAGTCACGCACACTAATTGGTAGAGGGATTGATTAGACGATCTTAATTAGAACCAAGTGACAAACGTTGCTCATTGGTGCGCGATAAATTATTTCTCAATCGAAACATTAGTCATATTTATATGCACTTTTCCATTCTATGACACTGAATTGCATGCTCAAATATTATTAATGCAATAAAAATTTGAAAAAATAAAAAACATAAATAAAGAGACAATATTTATCCAATGACAAACCAAAATGTCAAACATTATAGTACCATTATCCAATCACTCTGATGGGACCTAAATTATCTTTATTGCATGGCATGGATGAATGATGATGGATAGACTTTTTATTTTCTTATTTTTCTGAAAAATAATTAAAATTTATCAAGGAAACCGTCCATGTTATTGGGATAGCTGTCAATTGTGATGAGAAACTATCTATTTCGAGCAACTTCCTACATTTTTTCAAGTGAACGGATGGAGTTATAAATAAGGATATGAATAGTGTTACATTGTAAGAGGGCCCATACTGTTCATATAGAGATAGATTTGATAGGTCTTTCTATCCTTGCATAGTTCCTATCTATGTCATGAGTTGGACTCAATCTTGACGTTCGATCTTAAAATGTCGAGTGGAACCATCTAAGTTTTATACGTTAATTTAAATTATTGGTTTTTTCATATTTGAGTTGCGTAGGATGTTACCCTTAATTAACATGTCTCAACCTGTAACTCAATTAAGAATATCAATCTTGAAAATCTATTGCTTAATCAAATTGCTCGTGTGAGCTTTTTAAAATTTGATATCATATCAAGGATCTTCATCTTAAAAAGTAAATCTCATTAAAAGAAATACCTCAGATCGTTATACGTTGATCATGATTTTCATATATAACAACAATACACGATTTTACCCTAATATTACTCAATCCTTTGATCCATAAATGCCAAAGCAATACCAGCCACCAATCGACCTATTCAACAGATAAATTTGTGCCTCTTTGCGTGGCCAGCATCCAAATCCAATAAATTTGGAACCTATAATCAACTCTAGATGCTACTGAGAAAATACAAGTTTCGTATCTTCTGCAAATGCATAAGCTAGCAACCCTAAACCCTTGTGGGCAGTGGACCAAAGGCTTTTATAATCCTGAAAGTGTTAGTCAACAACGAGAATGTGACAGTCATGTTAAAGTAGTTAATGGTCGCAGTTTATAATTTGTCCCCTCTTTGATTGAGTTTTTCTTTACTTTTGACCAGACTAGGCTAAAAGAAGGATGATGGTCCTACATAATTATGATGATAAGGCAAGCTGAATGTTACATTTGTGGTGGTTAATCAATAGTTGCATATACGCTATCTAGATAAGGGTGGATCGACTTGATTTTATTGATGCATTTTTCACTTTCCTATACCAACAAAAGTCATGGTAATTGAAGGTCAAATTCTACATCGATTATCTATGGAAGTAATAAACAACGTAAAGAATTGAATTAACAATGTTGACTTTTTAAAATGTTCAAGTCTTAATATGGTATCAGACTCCACTAAATTCAAACAAGTAATTCTACTGTCTAAAGTCCAAGTGAACCATCAGATTTCAAGATCGATGTTTTCAAATGAACCATTATCTCGTAGCACATTTTAAGGATAAAATCTCATACCAATTAGATATTGAAACAATCCTCTTAAGATTGACCTCTTAAATAAGATCCCAAGTCTTTACGCAAGACAGTCCCATGCAACTACTTAATTGTCGTTGTCTTAGTTTTTCCTTAATCAGAATCATCTTACTTTTATAAAAAATACGATGTTAATTAAGGGAAAAAATCAAAAATAAGGTGTTTAAGTTTTTAAATTCAAAAATCAGGTTTATAGTTTAAAAATTCAAAAATCAGGTTTTTTTTTTAATAATATAATATAATTAACCCATTCCACTTGCACCACCCCTACTGCTCCGGGACTATTCCGACGACCATTCCGACCACTACTTTTTTCCGACAACCATTTCGACCACCACTCTTTTCCAACAACTTTTCCGGCAACTGGTCACATATTCATAATTATAAGTCACAGATTTATTTACTGGTCATATATCGTCAAATTAATTGGACACAAATTATTTCATGGTCACAGATCAAAAATTTTACAGGTCACATATTATTTCGAGGTCACATATCATTCAAATTACAGGTCACTTTTTTTTATAGGTCACATAAGTTACAGTTTCTTGGTCACAAATTACTTTTCGTCACAGACACCTAATATATAGTCATAAATCAGCCAAATTGTTGGTCACAAACGATTAAATAGTTGGTCACAAACACCCCCACCCATCACAGCCATATCCACCAATATCACGACAACATCCAGATCTGCCACAACCACCATCTGCAAAAATATCCAACCCAGTCACCATTACCACCACCCAACACAGTCGACCCACACCCCCCACAGACAATCCACCAACACAGTCGATCCCTAACAGCCGACTAACACACCAACAGCGACATGACCCACACACCACAGCCAACCCACTCACCTCGACGCTAGGAGCAGCGACCCACCCCATAGTCGCTAGCAGCGCCGCCGCTGCGATTCACANGGTTATGTTTTAATATATTACCTGATTTTTTATTAAACAAACTTTGCACCTGATTTTTAAAAAGTAAACTTTAAACCCCTGATTTTTTATAATTTCTCGTTAATTAACCTCTCACTTTAGCCGTTACAGCTTACTGGATATTTCGAGGGCAGTTGTCGTTATCAAATGCTTTAACAGTTGATTTCTAATCACATCTTTATTTCTTAATTTTGGGCATTATTTTTCACTTTTAGTGGCGAAATTTCACCAATGTCTTTAAATTCATGTTCCTAAATATGCGATAAGGTCGTAGATACAATCCAAATTGCAAGTGACCTGACTAGAAGGACCTGACAAATAGCGGCCGTAACTATAAGGGTCCTAAGGTACGAAATTTCTTTTCAGATAAATTTCTACCTACACGAAATGTATAACAATCTACGAACTGTCTCGGAGAGAGACTAGGTGAAATAGACATCCGTGAAGGTGCCGATGGTGTGTTCAAGTGTAAAGTGAACCGTGACTATATAACTAGTGGATGAGAGGAGAACAATGTGCAAATACATTCACAACCATGAATATGCATGAAAAATCTATCTTGGATCAGATATCTGGGTGTGGGTCTTTCATCAAGCCTCATCCCATATTTCCGCAACTGGATAATATCATAATGAAACACACTGTGGGGCTGTGCATGGATTTTGACAGATAATTTGCCAACTGACTTTCACTACCCCACCATCCCACATGCTCTTTTAACCTATTTCAAACCAATGCTCTGCCTTTCCCTATTTAAACCCAGATATCTCATTCAACTGCAGGAAAAAGAAAAAAAAAATGGTATTAGATTTATACAGGTAATTATTGTTCTGTGCTAGATTTATACCTCAAAATTCTCTGAGTGTAACACGCACACACATTTATATATGGAAGCAGCTGTGGAAGTAGAAGATGATGTTTTCTTTGCAGACTTGAGCAAGAGAATCTCTCTTCTGATAATGGATGATGATGAAGACTCACTTCCTGATAATTGTCCATCTGTTACTTTACAGGTTCTTCGTCCTCTCCTCGCTCGATAACTGTATGATATAACGGTTCAAGTGGTACTTGATTTTCTGCATAACATAACATTATGAGATATATTTAACTATTTGTGTGACGGAATGTTGCGAAAGTTAATTTCGACATGTACATGTTTATGATGCACGGAAACTTCAAAACGCTAGTTAGATTCAAAAATCAGAAGTCTTTAGAAACTTGGGGGAAAAAGTGCTACTTTTTCAATTTTTTTAAGTAAAATGTAGACACTTAAGGGAACTTTAACTTATTAGAGAAACTTTGAATATATTTTTTTTTGGAATGGTAGGGCTACATTAGGTTTTAATTAATATTACACTGTTTGGGTGCAAACTAAAATTTGCCATAAATACAGTATGATACTCACTGGTTGAGTCCCACCACTGCATGAAGGCATGTGTTGACTTTAATCATCAACTAGACCCACTCCTATATTGTCTTGTGCCTTGTTTTGGTCAAGTTAAAAGAGTTTGCTAAACCAATCTTTCCTCCATTTTCTGAGCATTTTTAGGCCTTCACTCAGGCAATCCATCCAACCACACAAATGCAAATTCTTCATCAGCAGACATGCGCAAGAGAAAGCAAAGGGACAGGAGTTTTTATTCCTCGTTCTTCGCATCCACGAAGGAAGGATAGGCAGGGAAGACATGCTAAATTCCACAGGCATTCTGATAACTCAAGAGGGCTTCGTCTCGTGGCTTACAATAACAATAACACTAACGCCTCGTACAATTCGCTTTACCCAAGAAGATTTTAATTATTACACTATTTATTTGCTGTCCACAAGATGAGGCAAGGACATTTCGGAGCATTAAGATGAACGTGTACAAAGAAAGATGTGTGGTTTGTGGCTATTATGTAGTGAAATTAATATATGGTTGTTTCCTTGGCTGGATATAGACCCTTGTCATCTTCCTTCAATGCAATCGAATTTACAGTTGGTTGATTTGAAAAGAAGGCATATTTGACTATTCTAACAACACAGTTGTCTCAGCGTTTGTTCATGAGATTATTTTATTTTTATTTTTTGAAATGTGTGAAAAATGATTTTTAAAAAAAATCTCGCAAAAACAAAAGCTCTGAATTGTAGCCTTTCAAATAAAAAGAGTATTGTGTTAAATCATATAGTGTTGTTGGAATTGAATATTCAATGCTTGTATGAGAAAGTTCAAAAATTTAATTCGACAATTAATTTGACCATTGTTTTGCATTCCCTGCAATTGGGGTTAGTTCTGTTTATGTGTCTTTGTCCAAATGCTCTATAGTTCTTTCTATGATTAGCAATACTCTAAAAAACTCGTCTAAGCTAGAAGTTTGACATTGTCATCTATTTACGTTTTGCATTTTTTTACGCTTAAGCTTTGTTTAAGTCTTTCTAGGCTCGTAAAAACTTGAAATTTGATTTTGTCACCTATTCACATATTACGCTTCTTAGAACAATGGTGATTAGGTCCAATTCGTCAACATTTACAAAGTTTTATGGGTTGAAACATAAACAGAATAACTTCAGAGGCCGAAACGTAAAATAGGAACAACATGCCCAAAATATCAAGGGAAAATTGCAATAGTGGACCCAAACGTTTGAATTTCTAGCAGACTTTAGCCTAACTTTTAGTTTATGCCAATGAAGGTCCCAAACTTTTGAGAAATTAGCATTTGGAGTCCAAACGGTTAGTTGACAAAGAAAAGTGGATTTTGGCCAATTTTACAAAATTAAAAGGACAAAATGGTAACTTTAGAATTAACATTTTCCCAAATATTATTAACAATTAAACCCACCCCACCCCACCCCACCCCATCTTTTTCCCCACCATCACCCTCACCCTCACCCTCAACATCCAACCAATTAATGTGAACTTTCGCGCAACCAATTCTAGTCTTCAATGAGCACGGGGTAATAAGCCAGGAGTAAGAATCGTTAATCACCATATGGAGTTTACTCCCCAATTAACAATCCAAATACAGATCAAGTACAAACAACCAAATCCTAATTACAAGATCCATCCAAAGTTCCAAACCACACAATTCAAGTATTGGCGTTTTACCTTTTTTTACTTTTTTACCAACCTCACCTTCCCCAAAGACCCGAGAGAATTTTCACTTGAGCGGTAGTGGTCGACCAGTTGAAGCTAGCGCCACATCTTCACCATCGGTCCATCACCACGGTTCATCTTCCCCATCCCCAAAGACCCGAGAGAATTTTCACTTGAGCGGTAGTGGTCGACCAGTTGAAGCTAGCGCCACATCTTCACCATCTGTCCATCACCACGGTTCATCTTCCCCATCCCTTTTTTACTTTTACCATTCAGGCAATCAAAAATCAATTAATAAACAATAATCAATATTTTAAAAAATATATATAGTTTTTCAATATTTCACTTCATTAAATCGAAAATGAAAAAGTTTGATTTTTTTTTGAAGAACAAAAACAACCGAATATCTGGATTTGGATTTACGGTCAGGATTGGAGGGGCCATCACAAAAAGTGAAAGATCGGAGCAATAAATTCATGACAATTAAAGACCACATTTCAGCTTCTCGATTTTTTCTTTTATCAAATTTCAGTGTCAAAAATGGCAAATGCTAAAAGAAGATGGGAGTGTGGGTAGGATGGGAACGCGTGAGGCAGATTTATTATTATTATTTTTAGTTTAATTATTTTAATTGTTAATAATGTTTGAAAAAATGTTAATTCTAAGGTTAAGTTTTAACCTTTTTAATTTGGTCAAAGTTTTTTTTTTTTTCAGCTAACTGTTAAGTGGATGGTTTTTGTCCATTTGGGACCTCCGTTGATATAAACTGAAGGTTAGGATAAAACCCGCTAAAAATTCAAAGATTCGAGGTTACGTTTTAACCTTTTTAATTTGGTCAATTTTTTTTTTTTTTTTAAGTGGATGGTTTTTGTCCATTTGGGACCTCCGTTGATATAAACTGAAGGTTAGGATAAAACCCGCTAAAAATTCAAAGATTTGAGGTTACGTTTTAACCTTTTTAATTTGGTCAAAGTTTATTTTTTCGGCTAACTGTTAAGTGGATGATTTTTGTCCATATGGGACCTCCATTGATACAAACTGAAAGTCAAGGATAAAACCCGCTAAAAATTCAAAATTTTGATACCACTGCTATAATTTTCCCAAATACAATTCTTCTTCCATTTTCTCCCGTTAATATTTTCAAAGAGCGTATCAAAAAACCCAGCTTTTCCCTCTTCTCTCTCTGTTCTTCAGTCTCTCACTCCTGAATTGTCAAATGCAAACCCAGAAAATCCCTTAGCTTCTCTCCCTAATTCGATCTTCAGTGAATTTACTTCACAACTCACTTCGATGCAAGAGTTTATAGGCTCCGTGCGCCGATCTCTTGTCTTCAAACCTCCCGGCGGCGAAGATACTGGTGGCTTCCGCGACGTCGTTGATAAAATCGGGACAAGTGTTCGAAATTCCCGAATCGGACTTTTTTCGAGAACCCCATTCCACGCCCTGCCCCCGATTTCTAAACCAGAGACGCCACCACGAAAAGTCGTGAAAGGGGAAGAGCGAATATTGATTAATAAAGAGGAGGCGGTAACACTTCAGATTAGAGGGGTGAAAATGGAGGAGAATGTGGAACAGCCGTCGCCGATCAGGTGGAGGAAGGGGGAGTTGATAGGTTGCGGGGCCTTTGGAAGGGTTTACATGGGTATGAATCTTGATTCTGGAGAGTTACTTGCTGTGAAAGAGGTATACTTGTTTTGCTTGATTAGGGATTTTTAAAGAATGTTATTGCTCTCGTTTAGGGTTTTATTCGAGGTGATTATATTCCTGTTTCCCTTTTGTTTATATACAGGTTGCAATTGCGGTGAATAGTGCCTCGAAGATAACCCAGGTATTGTTATTAGATTAAGCTGAATTTCTTGTGTTGATTTCATGCAAATTTGATCAAATCACACTCTATGTCATGTCAGCTTCGAATGATACTTAACAATGCATATTTGATCCTTTACAGAGAAGATATATGATAGATATTTCTACTGATTTAATAGTTCAGCATTGTTCTGGTTCTGCTTGAAATGGTAGTTGTATATCATTAATTTTGTAGTGCTTTAATTTCTCTACACATACATTGGATCTTCAGTTCATATTTGAAAGTAATTTTATTAAATAGTGTTGATTGGAACTTTGAAATGCATTCTTCGAATTTGACAGAATCTTTTTGTATTGAATTATTAGGATCAAATCACAGAGCTCGAGAAAGAAGTGAATCTATTGAAAAATCTCTCACATCCAAATATTGTAGTGAGTAAAATTGTTTGTTTTGATTCCTAAAGGTGGGGGTGATTGATCTCTATTTTGAGTAATTTTCCTCTCGATTCACAGAGATACTTAGGAACTGCAAGAGAGGAGGATTCGTTGAATATATTACTGGAATTTGTTCCTGGTGGATCAATCTCATCGCTACTGGGAAAATTTGGATCTTTTCCAGAATCTGTAAGTGATTATCATCCTTGTTTGTGAAATTTATTAAAAAAATTTGATATCCTCTGAACCTATTGTTTAGAGACCTATATCCATGGGCATCTTCTTTTACAAGTCTGTGAATTGTTATTGCTAAAAATTGAGCTCTCGAGCCATTAGTATTCTTGATTCTTTCATATCTGCAGAGATATTTCAAAATTTCTGCAAGCAGTCTATTTGGAACTCTAATATCATTTTGTCAAACCATTATGATGTCTAGGATTCTGTAAATCTGCCCCTTCTCTCTTGTTGGCAATGCAGGTTATCAGAATGTATACGAAACAACTGATGTTTGGATTAGAATACCTGCACCAGAATAAGATTATGCATAGGGACATTAAGGTACTGTTTATTCAAATACTTCTTGTTTTAGTTTTGGATGTATTACACGCTCGTAACTCTCTGAAACTGATTTTGTGCCTGCTTATTAGGGGGCGAACATTCTTGTTGATAACAAGGGTTGCATTAAACTTGCTGATTTTGGTGCATCCAAGAAAGTTGTTGCACTGGTACAATCTTTTTTATTTTTTCCAATGTAATCCTCTGTCAGCTATTTCATCTTAATTAGGGTTTGAATTCTGCTGCAGGCTACTATGACTGGCGCCAAATCAATGAAGGGTACTCCATATTGGATGGCACCTGAAGTTATTCGCCAGACTGGCCATAGCTAGTGAGTAAAAGAACACAGCTCAGTTCATGTAGCTGATCAACTTTGCATCTGTTCATTTTCTGCATTTGTTTTAGTAATGCATGGAGCATCTTCACAAATCTTCATATATTTGGTAGATTGAAGTGGCTTTCCTATATTACCTCCAGTATGATACTCTGAAATGTGAGGATGCTACCGATGATTGAACCAAGTAGCATTAATCGAAGTGCTTTAACTATAATAACTCTTAATTCATTTTATTTTGTTTTAGCCTTTGACATTTCATTTTATGAACCAGTGGTAAATTTCAAATTAAATCATAGCAGAAACTAGAACTGGGACCTATTTTGGGACCTGCAATCTCCTGATGCTTCTTATTTTATGTTTGGATATAGACTAAGCTAGGGCTATCCTGAGAATCTTGTTCCCACCTATTTGGTTGGCACTGCATATTTCTTATTTCTTTGACCTGTAAATCACAATTTTCATTTCTTTTCCAAGCTTTTTAACTCGGTGCTTTTTCCCTATCCAATAGCACCCTCAATTTTGGACCATACCATTTTTCATCCATTTTGTTTGCTTAGCAACTCAAACTTTACTAATCACCACTCACATGTTCTATATTTTCCACAAATTATCAATAGCTCTGCTGATATATGGAGTGTTGGATGCACTCTTATTGAGATGGCCACCGGAAAACCTCCTTGGAGCCAGCAGTATCAGGAGGTATACAATTATTTTCTAGAACCATTATGAAACCATTAATTGTAAGGGTGACAATAACATCTTATTTCTTGCCAATTACTTTGAGTTCTAACAGATGGTATAATTTTCAGGAATTTGCTGCACTCTTTCATGTGGGGACTACCAAATCTCACCCACCAATACCTGAGCATCTCTCCATTGAGGCTAAGGACTTCTTGTTAAAATGTTTACAGAAGTATGTTTTTTGTACATATATACTTGCTTGTTCTTGTGCTTACTTTTGCCTTTTTTTTTGTTTTTGCCCCCCTTAAAACCTTTAGTCAGGGCTATTGAGCTGTAATTGGATTGCGCTGAGAAGAAAAAATCCAAACAACTAATGAATTTTTCTACTTGATTTTCTTATTTGACTTTTTAGTGTGCTTCATAAATTTTGGCAGGGAACCTGACTTTAGGCCTTCTGCATCAGATTTATTAAAGGTTGTTTTATGGTTCTTTCTATCTTGAATTTTTCGTAGTGACTACAGCATAAACGACTCACATTGTTGTTAGATGTTTATATTTTATGCAGCGGTGTGACAAATCTTGGTGTTTTAAGAAATAAGAAATATTATGCAGTGAAGTTTTCAATTAGGCAATTTTCTTTTTGTGATCTGCAGCATCCATTTGTGACTGGAGAATGTCAGAAATCCCACTGTGTTTCACACACTTCACTTACGGTCAGCAAATTCTTGTTTCTTGTATAAAATATTATAGTTCTGTGGCACAATTGTGTTTCTTATAATTTAAGTATCTAGATCAGAAGGATAGCGATGGAAAGAGGATGACAGCGCTTGGAATTGACCTCAAGATGTCGTAAGTGCTTTTCTTGCAATGGAATTCGGTTTTTTTTGGATTCACCAGAATCTGATGTTCTCACTCTCTGTTCATGTTGTAGAATGAATTTTCAGACAAGGATGACCTGCAGTGGTTTGAAAGATGTCAGTGACTTGGGTGGTGTAAGATGCTCGTCTATATATCCTGAGTTGTCAGGTACAGGAACCTGTTGGCAACCAGTGAACGTTGATGACGACATGTGTCAAATAGACGACAGTGATGATTTTGGTGCTACAATGAAATATAAATCTAGTCTGCTTGCATGCGATTTTAATCAGGTAGCAAGTGGCAAGAGTTTAATTTTCCAAATCCTTCTTGGACTAGTATTGTTATGTTTGGACTCTCCGTATTTTTTTATCATTTCCAATTAGGACTAAGACTGCTTAAATCTAAAGCACTGAATCTCTCATATTTAATTCGATCTTCGTAAATAATTATAGTCCTTTGATTTCTTCTAGAGTTTGTTGGTTAAAGCTTGTTTTCGTCATAGGCTGTCTACTGAATCATCTTCATGTGTTTCTTAAGTATGATTCTCTGCAGTAGAAAGCTACAAAGCTAATCAAATTGTGCACTGTTTCTATATGTAGAGTTTTAATCCAATGTGTGACCCTGATGATGATTGGTCTTGCAAGCTTGATGGAAATCCAGAGGTGGGGGAAACTGGAACAAGGTTGCTTACAAGTCAAGTTCTTGAACCTGGGAATAGACTTCAAGCATCTGGTGAGGATGATTGTGGCTTCATATTTCCAAGTGAGCCATCAATAGCTGAAGATGATGATGAAGTAACTGAGTCAAAGATTAAGGCATTCCTGGATGAAAAGGTATTATTTTCATCCTCATAGGCTGTCAGAATATGACTTGATGTGGATACCTTATTATTCCTTCAATGCATTTTTCTTCGGTGTAATTGAAGTCTTGTCTATACTTCATCAAATTTTTTTAGGCTTTAGATCTGAAGAAGCTGCAAACACCTCTATATGAAGAATTCTACAATTCTTCAATTGTTACTGGACCTCCAAGTCCTGTCTGGACTGCGAATAAGGAGAATGTTTATGATGATTCGAAATTAACCCCTAAAAGTAGGTCACCCAATAGGGTGGCTAACAAACGACTTTCCACTGCTGCTGACCTTGAGTACAACTCAAGCCCAGGGAATTCTTCCAGATGTGTATCAAATATTGGCGACGTAAACTTTCAAGCTTCTAAGAATGTAAAAGAGCTTCCTGATTCTCAACAGGGGCCACTTAGTCCAAGGTCTGTAAATTATCACCTGTTTACAATTCATAATGAGCTACTTAATAAACCATTTCTTTCTCCCGTAGCTTGAAACTGTGAAATCTTCTGTTTTTTGATAGCTCAAGCTTCTCTGATAGGCAAAGGAAATGGAAAGAAGAACTTGACGAAGAGCTCGAAAGGAAACGAGGCAAGTTTTATCTACTTCAGCATTATGTTAAGAATCACCTTTAGGTGTTAATAGCGGTTATGCTAGTTTCTTGAACCCATTGTGGTGTTTACTTGATCTACATGTTTGGAAGCAACGTCTAGGTGAATGTAATATATGAAAATTTTGATATCAACTGTCTGGTTGAGCAAAGTTGCACTTAGTTATGAGCACATTGCTCCTATTATGTGGCGAACTTGGAAATGGATATCTCTGTTCGCCAAAAAGTAATACGAGTGTGCTTAGGCACTATTTGCCCCCCATGTTCTAAAACTCATTTTTTTTCCAAACTCATTTTCAATTACATTCTTCCAATAAAATAATTTTTCTCATGGATCCATATCTTTTCTATACTTTTTAACCACACGTTCTCCAAAAAAATCAATTTTCACACAATCTATTCTCAAAAATCCCTATCAAACAGGGGCTTAATCTTGTAGACATGAATGCAATAGTGTCCATGCTGTCTATTGCTGCTGGTTCCTAAGGTTCTGAAAATGGTTTCTATTTTCATTTCTCTCCTTCCCCATGAGAGAAAAAAATATCTCACTCTGCTTTGAGTTCTGTTTGTTCTCATTATAATTGCCTGCCTTTTCCTAAGGACTGCAACATATTACGATACAACCCAAAGCAGTTCTTGAGCTGCAATTCTGCACTTAGATGCTTTCTTTGTCCTTATTTTTGATATTCGAATGTGTATTAAGGAGTTACACTTCCTCTTAGACTTCGTAATTTAAAATGGTAATGTAATCGATCAAGATGTCTTGATGGGCTAATGACAAACATTATATGGGAAACTAGTCCTCTTTAACTTTTTGTACGTGTAAGTTGGCGAGCATTCAATTGTTTAAAGTTGGGTAGTCTGAAGTTGCTGCTTATTTTATCTGATCAGTATGTTTTTCTTAAATCTTAGATTGAGTTTCAGCTAAAACACTTTAGTTATACTTTCACTTAGCCCCTGTTTGAGTCACATTAAAATTTGTATTCTCATTCTTCTACTTATTTTCAACCACACATTTTTCAATAAAATAATATTTTCTATCACATCAATAAAGTTTACTTCTTTTTCAACCACACATTCTCTATCAATCTATTATTCCAAAATAATGTGGCTCAAACACACCCTTAATGTCAAAGGTAGAGATCTCAAATGATTTTTTTATTCTGATAATCATTGTTGAAGTAAAAGAATTAGAAGGCTTAACAATTGTGTTAGCCTGTCCCACTATTTATAATAAGAGTTAGGAAAACCTTAGGAAACCCTAGGTATTACATAAAAGACCTAAATACCCTTTAACACTCCCCCTCAAGATGGAGCATATATATTGTGTGCTCCAAACTTGTTACAAATGTACTTTATCCTTGAACCCCCCAACGGTTTAGTAAATATATCAGCTAATTGATCAGCTGAGTTTACATATTTAGTCTCAATCTGCTTCTGCAACAATTTTTCTCGAATAAAGTGACAGTCAACTTCAATGTGCTTCGTTCTCTCATGGAAGACAGGATTGGATGCAATGTGAAGTGCTGCTTGATTATCACAAACCAGTTCCATCGGTGAAGTGTGTTCAAATCCAAGTTCTTCCAACAAATGTTTCAACCATGTTAACTCACAAGTGGTATGCGCCATTGCCCTGTATTCCGATTCTGCACTCGACCGCGCCACTACCGTCTGCTTTTTACTCTTCCAAGAGACAAGGTTACCACCAACAAACACACAATACCCAGTAGTAGATTTCCTATCTAGGGGTGATCCAGCC